ATTTTTTTTTTTGGTACCGGGGATCGAACTTGGGACCTTGTGCTTGCAAGGCAGGCAGTGGAACCACTGAGCCAAATCCCCGGCCCTGAAAATTTTATTTTTGATAGCTTAAATCTAGTACAGTGGTACCTTGGTTCATGAATTTAATTTGTTCCATGATTCTGGGGAAGATGGCTACATTTGTGTTCATCACCTGATGTGGAGTTCACCAACGGAAGCAAAATTTTGCCGAATGCTTCTGTTTGCAAACCAAATTGTCCAGCAAACAGAATCATTCATGAAGTGAGGTACCATATATTTGTTAATATGGGAGGCATTTTTTTTTTGGTACCAGGGATTGAACTCAGGGGGAGGCTTTTTTGAGACAGAGTCTTGCTATGTAATTCAACCTGGCCTCAAACTTTTAGTGATCTTTCTGGCTCAAATTCCTGAGTGCTGGAATTACAGCTGTGCACAAGTATGCCCAGCTTATGGGAGGCTTTGGTGTACACAGATTTGAGGCTAGGTTCTGGCCCTTCCGCACATTAGCTGGGAGGGCTGAGGTTTGCCTCTTGTCTTCTGAAAATGGGAAAGGATGGCAATAATTTTTACCCCAGGTTATTATAAAAAAAATTATATATATATGTATATATATCTATACATACACATAGAGATACCATCTAAAAATGTATACATCAGGAAAAGAAAAACTTGTATAAATACTTTTATACTAAATTTATTTAGACATTGAGACTAATACAAGTTACTTTTGGCCTCTACAATTACAAGAGGTGCTCAAAGTGGTGATCATTAGCTTCCAGACATTTATTAGTATGGTGAAGTACTAAAGTATGCATGTATTTTTTTGGCAGTCTCTCTCTCTACCTCTCACTCTCTCTCTATATGCTTAATTTTATATATAGATATATTTATATATATGCTTAGTAATTGCTAGCTAATTTTATTGTTTTCTGCCAAACTTTTAGAATTAGTACTTATGACAATATTTTTTTTAATGACATTTTTTAGCTTTTCTAGTTCTAAAATCAATGGTCATTACAGAAAATCTGGAAAATTTATAGTATTATAAAGAAGAAATTAACATGCCCATAATCCTTCCATCTAGCTATAAGCAGTTATATTTTAAAGTAATGCTCTATCTTCATATACAGACCCACATTTGAAAAACTGGAATATTTATAGTTTTTTCTGCAATATTGCATACTTTTTATTTTATTTTTGTTTTGATTTTTTGAGACAAGGTCTAGCTTTGCAGTTCAGGCTGGTCTCAAATTCACTATGTAGCCCAAGCTGGCCTTGAACTCATGGCAATCCTCCTACCTCAGCCTCCCAAGTGCAAGGATTACAGGCATCCACTACTACGCCTGGCTGGCACACTTTTTAAAAAGGAAAAATTTAATACTGCTATATGTGTATTTAACTGTAATATTTTAAAGAAAATTTTTAGTAGGTATAACTTTTAGGTAAGTTTTAAAGTATATATTCTGTTTCTTAAGTCTTCAGTAGAAGAGAGTGAAGATTAATAACCAGTTTGGCAAAAATTAATGTTATACTACTTGTTCAATTTGTAAGACAGTATATGGGAAATATAGATCTATCCCCAAATATGAAAAGTTATTTGCTGTCATCACAGCTGCTTCAAAAGGCCCTTCAAAATGCTACTCATTCTTCCAATGATTTTACAATATTTTAAAAGATGCAATTATATTCACTTTATCTGTATGTAAGTGATTTAGGAAATCAATGGGTTTTTCCACCATATACCTGCAAAAAGTTTACAGATCATTTCACAATTCCAGGATTTGGGTACTCATGTCATGAAAATGTAGGTTATTGCAAACAACTGCGCTATTAAAATGACAATAAGATATATCCAATAACATTTCAAATGCATTAAGAATGAGTACAAAGGATGAATTTCCTAAATTAGAAAATAACTTCTTTTCTAGTAGTTTTAGGTTTAATATGGTAATTAACTGCTCTAGGTGAGGAAAGAGGGAAGTTGTACATTTACCGTATGTTTTCTTAAAATGCTGCAGTTAACTCTATGTAAAACCACAAGAAGGGAGGTATGCAATTTAACTTTTTCTTGATTACTCCACTGATATATGCAGTGCTGAAATACAGGGATAGTCATAGGGCTGAGTAGGCAAATCTGCTTGCCTTTAAGTAAAGGTTCATACTGCTCTGGTCTTACCGTGTTTTCTCCCCTTGCCATCAGGTATGACTTCAGACTGCTATTAGTATACTTGACTCTAAGGAAACAACATATATAAAGTACTTAGCAGTGTCTGGCACATGGAAAACATTTAATAAAATGTTCGATTTTTATGATCACTCCCTTCTAATCTACTTCTGATCACTGAAGAAATAAAAACAAACTATCAGAATTGTTTAAGATAATAGTAAATAGGCTCAAATGAGGTCTTTTTCCATGAATTCAATGTACCAAAGTAATAATAATTTATTGAGGCTTTATTATATGCCAGGCACTTTGCTAAATGCTTTATATAAAGTACCTAATTCTCCTAATGTACTTAGTGATGTACGTAATATTATTATAACTCTATACCCATGAAGGTTCAATCACATTAACTTTCTGAAGGTCACTCAAAGCCAATAAAATGACAGTTGTTTTGAAACCCAGGTTTAAATTTCAAGTCCTATGGTTTTAACCACTGTTGTATGCAATGTATGAAATGACCTACTTTTTTCAAAAAGTAAAAAACTGTTCCCCAGTTCTATAGTTATTAAATGAATACTCTTCTGAAAACATTAGTCCTTAATAACCTATCAGGAAATATTCACACACACACACACACACACACACACACACACACACACACACACACACACACACTTTTTTTTTTCTTCTTTCCTGCCCAGCATGTTTTTTTAGGGTAATGATCTTTTGATTTCTCTCTAGTGGCCTCTTCTTTCCCTCCTTAGTCCCTGTATTCCTGAAGGAGTTGCCTTTGTCCCAGCCCAGCAGTAAAACACTTGTCTTGGCCCAGCCACTCATCAAGTTTATTCTTCTGTCCACTGCAGATCCAATGATGGGCATGTAAACTAAGTAAAGGCAATCAGACATAGCAAGAAAGGCTTTGCCTGAAAATATGCAGGTGTGTGTTTTTCTCTTTTGAACATAAAATGGACAGGCTGGCAGATCTGGAGCTAATGCTGTCCCCTTGCTTTCAAATGAAGCCTGAAGATAAACCTGATAAAGCTTAAAGAAAAACTAACACTTTGTAATATTGCTTGAATGCAAACTTAGCTGTGCCTGAGGTAAGTTCTACCAGACTCAGCAACTTACACAATTCCCTTTCTCATTTAATTGGATATCCTGTTACTTATAACCAAAGTCCTACTTGAGACATCTGTCTGTTACCTATAACAGAAACGGTATTTATATATTTTTCTCCATAAGTCTCTTGAAGGCAGGCACAGATTTCACCCTGATCTGACCACTCTATTTGCCATTGAGACTTGGTCTCTTTGGCACATGATGCGGACCTTGGAATGGCCTAGCATCCTGGGGTGTAAAATCCTATCCTGGCTCTGATTTCTTGGCCAAGACAGGTATATGGGGTTTTAGATATTAACAGCTTTGGTAGCTCAGATAAAATTAAAATGCATCTGTTATAAGTACTTACAGTAAGCAAGCTAGAGGAACTCAGTGTATTCACCCAGTATTTATTCCACAAGAGCTCAAGTAATTTGCGATCCAAAGATGATTTGAAATATGAGACTTCTAAGGCATAGTATCTATGAAAAGAAAGCACAAATTCACTTAGTGAAAAAATATTCTATTCAATTATCTCATATAGATGTTTGGGACAAATTTAAAGAAACTGTGCTTTATATTCAGATAATCAAACCCCAGCACTTGAGAGGCTGAGGCAAGAGAAAACTGCTGTGAGTTTGAGACCAACCTGGGCTACACAGTAAGTTCAAGGCCAGCCTAAACTACATAGTGAGACCCTGTTGTATTAAAAAAAAAAAAAAAAATCAGACTTTATGAATGACATATTCATGCTACTTGGTTTATGATTCCAGCTAATAGCACATACACTTAATAACCTTCTGCTGTAGGGTCAGCAAAATTGGCCTTTTTCTTTTTAATCATTTATTTTTCTTTTAGTTTTTGAGACAGGATCTCACTAAATTGCCCAGGCTGGCCTTGAACTTTCAATACTCCTGTTTCAGCCTCCCAAGTAGCTGAGGTTACAGGCACACACCAATGTACCAGGCAAAACATACGTATTTTTAAAAGTAACAAATATTTAAATATCTCCGTAGGTTCTGTACATGACTGGGTACAAAGAAGCACAAGAGACTTCTTCACTTTGAAGAACTCACTCTTTATATGGGAAAGTAGTATGAATCTAAACAAGTTAAATATAATGAAATATTTTGGATAACAGTAAGTGATGCTAAAGTGCATATATAATATGAATCACCTACCAATTAAGTGTTAGAAACAATAGGAATGTTTAGAGGAGCTCAAGTGGTCATTTCAAGCTAGAACTGCTTGAGAAGCCCCAGAAGAAAAGGTATGACATAAGATAGCTCTTACATGAGTCTATGGGATAAGTATGTTGAAAACATTAGGCATTAGCCAATAGGCAGAAAGTCTTAACCCCCTTAACCCGTAAGAAAAGATACACAAGGGATAGAAAACTGGTCTAGCTGGACAATTTATCAAGAGCAGAATTATGTAAGGAAGACCCAGAAAGCTATACTGGTACTGAGGTTTAATTGGCAGAAGATGTTATACAAAAGTTAAACTTGGGGCCGGGGATTTAGCTCAGTGGTTCCACCGCCTGCCTGGAAAGCGCAAGGTCCAGAGTTCGATCCCTGGAACCCAAAAAAAAGAGTTAAATTTTATCCTCTAGGTACATAGGACTCATTGAAGGTGTTTAAGCAAAGGAATACTATAGCTAAAAGAGTGTTTTGGAAAGCTGGCTGTTGCAGTCCTTCAGGAGGTATCAGAGAAGAGAAACTCATCAAAAAGACCCACAAATGAAGCTATCGAGAGGCAGGGCAGACAGGAAGAGATAAAGGTGTAGACCCTAGGTTCATGGTGCAAAAGACAAAATCATACGGGCACAACAAAAAGCCTATTGACTGAAGTTCAGCAGTGATGAAATAAAAGGAAATTGAAGACATCAGGATTAAATGATGGTTTTTTCAAGATTAAGACATGTATGCATGTCTGAACATAGAATGGAAGCAATGAGTGGAAGTGAAGTATATAACTTAAGCAACTACTATGTCCTAGGTGCTTTACCTAAATCCTGATTTAATCTTCCCTATAACCGTACATGAAAGGATTATATCCATTCTACACACAAGGAAATATTCAGTGCTACAATTTGGATCTGGAATGTCTCCCAAAGGTCCATGTATTGAAGGCTTGGTCTCTAACCATGATGCCACTGGGATGGTGAGTTTAAGAAGTGGGGCCTAGTAGAAGGAAGTTAGGTGATTACGGGTGTGGCCTCGAAGGAGATATTGGGACCTTAGATCTTCCTTTTTTTCTCTTTTTGCTTCCCAGACACCATGAGGTAAATAGCTTCCTCTTTGCGATGCTCCCACTGCCTTATCACTGACCCAGAAATAATGGGTCCACTGACCATGGACTGAAACTTCTGAAATTGGGAGCCAAAACAAATCTTTCTTCCTTATAAGTTGACTCATCTCAGATATTTTGTTACAGTGACAGAAAGCTAACACAAAGACCTTGCTTAAAGCTGCAGACCTAGAAAGAGGCAGAGGAAGGACATAAAATGAGGATCTGAAAGATAGAAAGCAAGGGTATAGAATAGATTCTTGATTTTTTTTTTGTTTTTTTTTGTTTTTTAAGACAGAGTCTCACTATGTTGTTCAGGCTGGCCTTGAACTCACTATGTACCCCAGGCAGGCCTTGAACTTGTGGTGATCCTCCTGCTTCAGCCTCCAGAGTGCTGGGATTACAGGTGTGTGCCACCACACCTGGTTCTAGAATAGCCTCTTAAGTCTTCAAATTTATGTATCACCTCATAAATTACTATTTTAATTTCTTAAATGGACAGAATGAATTTTTCCTAATATGATTAGCTGCAAATCTCAGTAGCAGAGGATATTCAAAATTACTTGTGGAGCTAACGACTCAGCTTCTATAGGAATAGTCAATAACCAATCCTCCTGAGAACTTGAAATCAGAAGCAACATTATCAGCATGTTGTTAACGATACAGGGTAAGTGCTTAAAGAAAAGACAATAATAGCTTAAGTGACCTTCTCTGGGGGGTGGGAAAGGTATAAAATTGTTTTTCATAAGATTCATAGAATCATTTAATTTTTTTAAAAGACATGCGGGTCTGTGATACTTGGGCTGGCCTTGAACTAGGCTCCAGTGATCCTCCTGCCTTAGCTTCCTGAGTAGCTAGGACTACAAGAATGTGCCACTGTCCTTCTCATCTGATTCTGTATGATATGCTTATAACACTAATAAAATATAAGGTAGTTTGAAAAATACTTCAGGGGCTGAGGATGTAGCTCAGTGATGGAGTGCTTGCCTAGCATGGACAAAGTCCTGGGTTTGATCCCTATCACCAGAAAAACAAAACAAAACAACTTTGTATCCTGTTTCCAATAAAGAAAAAATGAAAAATCAATATAAACTGCAAACAGTAGCTTATCATCAGATAATTTAGGAAAAAGACATAACTAGTCCACACAAAACCCTTGCTCTTTGAACTTGTTTCATTGAAATATTTGCAAAAAAGAATGTCATTATTACTATTCTGTTGGAATTAACCCAAAGTAAGAAAATATCTTTGAATACTCTAGCAATTCCACATTCAAGATACTCAGTTCTAGCAAATAAGTAGTTGACAAAGTACTGACTCCTTTCTGATAAGCTCCTATTTTAGAAGAACAAGGTAGAGTATTTGGCAAAAGAAAGATATTGAAGGAAGACAAAAGAACCCATGAAAAGAAAAGAAAATCAGGGAAGGTGGGTCTTTTGGAATATAAAAACATATGACAATATAAACAATTTAATGATATGTACATATACATAGTGATATGTACATGTACATAGTGAATGTATTAATTATATATTGCACAGTGAATGTATTAATTATATATTGTAAGCATGTACTATTAAAAAAATGAAAAAAGAATGGATTGTTACTCAGAAAATGAGAGTTTGCAGCAAAGGTGTTTCCACACTTAGGAGCAATTCTCTTAAACAGGAATGGTTTAAATTCTTTTCAGTAGGGCAAATTAAATGATTCTAACCATTTAGCACACTGGTAATTAATAGTTTTTACAGAAATAAAAGTTAGAGATGGGTGAAAACTAGATATATTTTAAACCTCAATTTTTTAAAAATCTGTAATTTTCTAAGAATATCCGAACAGAAAAATAAGAGCAGTAGTGATTCTTCCTTCAAGTGGAGATAAGAGGTATAGAGAAAAGAGGACACTGAATAATCATTTCATTTAGGCAATAATTTTTTTCTTTTGCTTTCTTTTAAAAGTCTCTTCTGTGTGCCATGCCTTATTTCAAATGCAAGGATACAGCAGTAAATAACTGTTTCCAAGAAATGCACTTCCTACAGGAGTCAGTAACAAGAAAGCAAAAACAAGTGCTAAGAAGAAAAAGAAAAGGGGACAGAGAGTGACAATAAAGTGCTATTTGACATAGGTTGACCCATAAACATTTTCTGTTGAGGTGACTCTTAAACAGATACTCAAGGTATCTGTTAGTGAGCCACATGGTAGTTAGTGAGCTACGTGGAAATAAGGATGTTTCAGGCAGAGGAAACAAAGTACAAAGACCCCAAGCCAGAATCCTGCCTGGTACATCTGACAAACTGTGAGGCTGGGTCGGAGAGGTTATGTGATAAAAGATGAGTTGAGATGCTGAAAGACTGGACCCTATAGGGTTGTGTAACCTATGGTAAGGATATTATTCTAGGTGAGATGGGGTCATTCTGAGAAAGAGAACATGATCTTACTTCCAGTCTAACAAACTCAGTCTGGTTGAGAAAACATCTGTAAGGGTTGTAGGGTAGACACATCCTCACCACCAAAATGTAAATTTGAGCTGCCACTCTTCCACTTGAATGTGTACCCCTCGGGCAGTGTGCCTGTCCATCCTGGAGGAGGACAAAGACTGGAGGCCAGCTATCACGATCAAACAGATCTTATTAGGAATACAGGAACTTCTGAATGAACCAAATATCCAAAACCCAGCACAAGCAGAGGCCTACATGATCTACTGCCAAAACAGAGTGGAATATGAGAAAAGGGTTCCAGCACAAGCCAAGAAGTTTGCGCTCTCATAAGCAGCGGCCCTGTGGCTCTGCAGAAAGGAAGGGATTGGTTTGGCAAGAACTCGTTTACACCTTTTGCAAATCTAGTCGCTCATATGGTCACTAGCCAGCCACCTGGGAGGGCTGGGCGGGCACCATCTCCATTCCTGCCACTGGCATACAGTTTTCATCTGCTGAATTACCCCGTTTTCATACAGGGTCTCTTCCTTCAGTCTTTTGTATTTTTGATTGTTATGTAAAACTTGCTTTTAATACTGATGTCAGTATTTCAACTGCTGTAAAATTATAAACTTTTATACTTGGGTAAGTCCCCTAGGAGCTAGTCCTCTGCTCTCAGAGGCAGGCATGATTCCCACCACTCGGAGCTGCCCGAAGCCTCTAACTGGCTGTACGAGAAGAAAATCACTTGCCCCTCTCACCCCTTATCTGGTCTCCTCAGAACCTGGGCTGTGTTGCTTATGAGCCTCAGATCCAAAGTCAGGTAGTGTCTTGATTCTGCATCACTTCCTTTGTGTTTATATGGCGTTTTGTCTGTGGTGCTGTTTAGAGTAAATAAACTGTTTCTGTTAAAAAAAAATACTATCTCCCAGCCCCAGTCTTTCATCTCCCCCCTTCCCTTCTGAATGCCTCTGCCCTGCTGCAGGGTCCCCACACCTGGTCCCTCTGGATGGAATACAGGGGTATCTCCTGCCATCCTCTGCTTCTTCTCTAAGCAACTCTCTCAAGCCACAGGATGGGCAGTAAAGGCCTCTCCCAAGAGCAGCGAGCCTGGGATGGCTGTAGTATCTGATGTCTTAAGTAGGTTACCCAAGCCCCCCTCATCACATGTAGCTGACAGTCAGGTTCTCAAAGTGATCCATTAGCAAAGTGCTCCTGGGTGAAACAATCAAATCTTTACTCCTTCAGAAAAGCCAGGTGTGGTGACATGCATCTGTAGTCGCAGCAACTTGGGAGGCTGAGACAGGAGGATTGCTTAAGCCCATAAGTTAAAGGCCAGGCAGGGCAACAGAGCAAGATTCTATCTCAAAAAAACCCAAACCAACCTCTAGGGTACATGAAATAGGGAAAATGGGTGAAGTGAGACTGAAAAAGTGCTGATAACTCGGAAGCCAGGGGCTTATGCACTGCTCTGTCTGCTTTTATGAATATCCCACAAAGAATTTTTGAAAGTTAAAAAAAAAAAAGAAAATACTAGTAGCATGGTTCAGGATCCTGATAGCACTGGCTTGAGTGAAGGTTACAATAAGAGAAATGGTGAGATATATTTAGAAGGTAAAGAAAACTGCCCTTCTTTAACATTTAAAAAAAAAATTAAGATGTAGTTCACATATCCTGAAATTCACAATTTTATTTGTTTGTTTTTTTGGTTTTTTTTTTGGTACTGAGGATTGAACTCGGGTCCTTGCGCTTTCGAGGCAGGCAGCAGAACCACTGAGCTAAATCCCCGGCCCTACATAATTTTAATAAAGTATATAATTCAGTGATGTTTTTATTTGGCTTAACTTTGGAATTAAAATGTAGAGTCCTTGCTAAATGGAAATTGGGTACTTTAAGGGCTACAAACATGCTAGTATCAGGCTGACCCTGAACACATCTTTCAACTTTAATTTTGTTATAGGCCAAGTTATCTTGTACACTGAGAAAATGTTTATAGCTCTGTGAAAGGCAATTTATTAGATTAAACCGATTATTAATAAAAAAACTTTGAACATTATTGTAAATTCTTATCTTTTTATTATTATTTAAAAAGGTATTATATATTATGAAATATATTTTGTCTACACCTTTCACTCCTTTGTAAAATAAAGGGTTGGAGATCTTTAAGGTTTCTTATAGTAACTTTGGCACTAAATAGAATTTTAAATGACTCACTGTTTGCAATGTACACCAAAGTCTTCTATTTTATTTAGTGGGATAGTTTGATACTCAGAAGGTCCTTCATCAGGAGGTTTGTAGCCCTAAACAAAAATAAAGAAAACAGAAGATTAAAAACAAATAACCAGAAAACCCCAAGAAAAAAATGTTTCTATGCAGTTTTTTACTTATAGAAACATTATTTTGGGGAGTGAAATATTCAATATAACACGCTAAAAGCTAGGTGTGGTAGCACATACCTGTAATCTCAGCACGTGGAAGCTGAGGCAGGAGGATCCTTGAGTTCAAGGCCAACCTGGACTACATAGTGAGTTCAAGGCCAGCCTGGACTACATAATGAGATCCTGTCTCAAAAGATCAAAATCAAAACATTCTAATAAAAAACGAAATATTTGCTTTTACCCTTTTCCTGGAGGCTATAGGCTGGATTTGCTTATAGATTCCTTTTTTTTTTGTCCTTAGGTAATACCTGGGATAGTATCTATTGCAGAGTGCAGGTTCTCTCCAGGGAAGGAAACAAATCTGTATAGTTTATTGTTTCTCTAGTACCTGTCAGAATGCCACGAGCATTCTTGGTTACTACTTTTTTGTTTTTTGTTTTTTGAGACAAAGTCTTGCTATGAAGTTCAGGCCGGTCTTGAACTCACTATGTAGTCTAGGCTGGCCTCAAACTCATGACAATTCTCTTGCCTCAGCCTCCTGAGTGCCGGGATTACAGGCATGCGCCACCACAGCTGGCTGCCACGGGCATTCTTATAAGAAAGGTATTACTTATTAAATACTTAAGAAATAAAGGCTGCTTCCATAAAGAAAGAGAAACTAGAGACATTTATAGCTAAATGGATGCATATTGAGGCCATACTCTAACTGAAATAAATAGGACACACATGTGTAAATACTGAATAGTTTCTCTAGTGTAAGAAACTGAAAGTGTGAATAAGGATTAAAATGAATAATTGATAATTTGAAATAGGAAGAAAAGGTCCAGAGGGGTAGGGGAAGTTGGAGGGGAAGGGGAAAGGAAAGACGGGAAAGGAAAAATTATGAGAAAAGAAAAAAATGGAAACAAAGTCTATGTAAATAGGGAAGAGCGGAGGGGGGGAAGGGCGCACAGGCAATGTGGAAAAAATAAGAACCAAGATAGATCATGTACAGGTACAAGCACCCAATGATAAATGTAAACATATTGTATACCTAAAATGTACCAATAAAAGAATTTAAGCAAAAAAAAAAAAAAAAAAAAAGAAATAAAGGCTGCTTTTCTAATAAAATTAGCAATATACAGAGTCTGCCAAAAAATGTATACACACTTCAGCAGTTTGCCACACTAGTAAATGTCTGGAACTAATGGCCACCACTTTGAGCACCTCTTGTAATGACAGAGGCTAAAGGTAACTTGTATTAATCTCATGATATCTCAGTAAGTTCAGTATTAAAATTTTTATACAAGTTTTTCTTTTTTGGCAGATTATTTTTTGCTCGGGCTAGTCTGTGTCAGCTTGCTAGTTTACAAACATAATTAAATTGTTTTAAGACTAAAAAGATGCTAATCATTGCATTATCTTTAAAAATAAGTAATATATTTGGAGTTTAAAAAATTATAAAGGCTTATAATTTTAAAAATTACCTTTGGGTATGTCCTAAAAGCCCCAAGATTCACTTTCCCTGCAGATATTGTTCTTGTTGGATCAATCTGCAAGAAAAATAAATTTAATATCTGTCAATATATATCGTCTCCATTTATGCAAACATTCTAAACCTAGAAATACATGTGTACATATAACAGTGTATACACACAACAACCAAACAATAAGAAAAAATTACCCAGACACAAAAAAAGGTAAGTATAGGCGTTCCTCACAGTTAATTCAGAGATTATATTTAGTTCTATCACTTAAGATTATTACTGGAGGATCTTCTCATCTTTTTAAAACTTTTTTTAATTTTGATAAATCAGTAATTTCTACTTTCCTCCTAGAAACCTGCGTTGCATCTAAAACACTCTGGGAATAGGAACTGTTCTATTAATTTCTATTTGCTCAATTCAACCCTGGATGCCTATGAAAAATTGGGTGCGAGACCTAAGTGCTATGATTACCTTATTTTATGGGGGCAGACTGGGGTTAGGTATGAGATGCAGAGAGGTTAAGTAACTTGCTTCTAAGAGGTGTCCCAGCTTCTAAGAGGTAGAATTCAGATTTGAACCTAGGCAGAATGATAAAGAGCCTTGCTCTTTACCATAGTGTTTTGATTTCTCTGTATAACTGCTTTCATAAATCTTCTTAAAGATTTTAATTAAAACTAGTTTTAAAAGTACTTACAACTACTGCTACGAATGGTTCCTGGAACTGCTGGTTAAGCATCTGTGTGCTGACATCAATCCCAGAAAGCCAACAGCCATAGCCAGGGTGGCTGTGATACCAGCCAATTGCATTTTCAAGGCGGCCAACCTAACACATGAAGACAGAGTATGAAGTTCCTGTTTAATCTCAGTCATTTGTCTCTTTTATGTAGCACTATGGTACAATTATAGTGTGTAGAATAGCTCACAGTATATGTTGCTTTCAAGTTAAAAAAGAAAATTTTAAAAATAGATAATACAGGGCTGGGGATTTAGCTCAGTGGCACTGCACCTGCCTGGCAAGCACAAGGTCCTGAGTTCAATCCCTGGTACCAAAAAAAAAAAAGTACATACACAAAGTACATAATTAATTAACAAAGTACAAGAACAAAAAAGTACTGAGCCTCCTTCCCATCTCTTTTCCCTCAAGCACCTGGTTTCTCAGCCAAGACGTTACTTCTATAGTCAATTGCTTACATACCCTTACAGAGATATTCTTTGCATGTACATAGATTAATAAATATGCACACAAAATAGAATACCACATATAGCGTTTTATACTTTGCATTTTTACTCAAATGATTCTGGAGTTTGAGCCATTTAAGTATTCAAGTAAATGTAGAAAGCTACCTTTTTTCTTTTTTTTAAAAAGGTTGCCTTAGCAGTTCAATAGATGCACCATAAGTTATTTAATTGGTTTTATACTCAGGAATATTGTTCCTAAACTTCTATGTTATTTCATTTTTTGGTGCTGGAAGTATTGAACTCAGGGCCTCTAACATGCTAAGCAAGCACTCCAGCCCAGCGCCCCCCATTTTAAATTTTAAACACATATCTGATAGTGTGAGAATGTATCTGGAAACAAACAAATCTATGCTATTAGTCTTATCAGGCTTTTCATTTCATATTTTATATAGAAATTAAACTTAAAATATAAAATTTAATGTTTAGAGGATAGTTTTAAGTTCAGAAACTCAAAAATCACCTTGACACTCTAATTTGCTATTACTAAACTTATGAAACATCATCTTTACCTGTTTGGCATTTTCTATGTATGCGGCCATGTACTCATATGCAGCAGCTTGAGCATTTACTCGGGTTTCGGTGCCCTCTACAGGCAAAGCAAAACTGTCCATAATGATCATGGTTTCACCATCCACTTTTCCAAGCATCAAACCCATCACTTCCAAGTTGCCTCCTGATCTGGCATGCATTACCATTTTCAACAGAGCCAGTGCTGAGATTTTACAGTACTTAAAGTAATGGTGACTACAAAAAAAGAAAGGTGTAATTAAATTTCTTATGTAAAGTGCAATTTCAAAAGAGTTTTTGTGAACATACTAAGTACTGAAAGGATTTGTGGGAATGAAAGGGGTGTGTAAAATGTGAGATTAGGAAAAAGGAAGTAGAAAGAATTCCTACAGGCCTTGGGAATAATAAACATGCAATAGACCTGCAAAGTATTCCCCCTTGGAGGAAGGGAAAAAACTCTGAAATAAACTATTCAAATAAGGGAATAACATAATCAGTTTAATTGGCTTTTCCTCTGTTAATCTGAAATCAGATTTTGACTCTGATTGAATGGTTGTGGCTAAACCTTGTGAGGCCTAACTTCTGGCCTAATGGTTATGAATCTGGGCTGTGACATGCACATGGCTGAATCTACCGCTCCCCAGCTGTGATGTGGTACAACCACTTAATGCCTGTGCCTCAGTTTCCTTATCTATAAATAGGAAATGCCATACTTGTTGTTTGGATAAAGTAAATAAAATATATAAAGTCCTTAGCTTAGTACCTGGCATGTACTAAAACATTAGTTAGTGCTGTTATTAGCATTAATAATCTGTCTCTTAGGGTTCTCTCAAAAGTACAGTGTGTTGGGGCTGGGGATTTAGCTCAGTGGTTTTGCTGCCTGCTGCGCAAGCACAAAGACAAAGACCTGAGTTCGATCCCTGGTACCCCCCCCCCCAAAAAAAAACAAAGTACAGTGTGTTGAAGGGTTTGGCTTCCTTTTCTCATATCAGTCTCAAAATAAAAAGTAACTATGATAATCCTTATGATCACTACTCTAGAGTAGTTATCACTGGAAGTGACTAAATTGAATAAAATTACATTTTGTTATCACTGATGCTGCCTAGGGGCAGGTAGAACTACAAGTACAGCCACAGACTGGGAGGCAGGCTGATAAGCTTCCAAATACTTAATAGACTATACCAAAATGCACAACCTGCTATAGAAGTAACCTGACAATCAGACAAGGAACCAGGCTGTATAATGTGGTTTGTCAATGTCTCTGAAAAGCTTTCATAAATGCCTGCCCATAGAAAACAACTAAGCTTAATTCTCAACCTTTGGCAGACTTCAACCACAGGGTGAAAGATAGGGAGGACACTTGGTCTTGGAGTCATGACATGAAGTCTTGGCTCCGCCATTCAGTGGGGAAAAGAGAGAAGATAAACATTATTGTGCTCCCGTTACACACATTTTATTTATTTATTTATTTATTTATTTATATTTTTGGTACCAGGGATCGAACTTGGGTCCTTCCGCTTGCAAGGCTGGCAGCGGAACCACTGAGCTAAGTCCCCGGCCCCTATTACACATGTTTTAGAACCTTTTTATATATTACCTCATCTAATCTTTGTATTACCATTAGATTTTGTTTCTGTTTTATAAATATATTTTACATGTACTGCAAACATGTATTAATTTAAAACGGCAATTAAAATACAGCATTGGGTTGTCATGAGGATTAAATGTGAAAATCCCTAGCTCACCCTCCCCATATTAAGAATTTAGTAAACATGGCTAAAACTGAATACTGACAGTTAAAGCTATCCTTGTAAAACACTGAGGCAGATAGGTGGGTGTGGTGGTACAGGCCTGTAATCCCAGCAACTAGGAGGGTGAGGCAGGAGGACTGCTTGGAGTTCGAGGCCAGCCTGAACTACATATCTAGACCCTGTCTCAAAATAAAACAAATAAATAAACAAAACTGGGGCAGATGAAGTATATTCTCTTGGTGACCACAGCTCTATTTTTCCTTTAGTGTGGTTTTGTACTTATCCTTAACAAAATCTTTTTCAGGAAAGGAGTAATGTTATGGGTAAATAACCCTAGACTTATCAGTCCTGGGGATAAGTACAGAGTCTTAAACTCTATTTTTATAACTTCTAGCTTATATGTACTGGTGGAGTAACATTTGAGAGACTGGCTAGAGCCTTGAAGAGCCTGAAATTACCCACAATAAAAAAGATTGTAGATTTCTAAAAGATGCCTCATAGCTATTTTCAAGACCTTTGGCCTGTTGATTCGTTTTTCTGAAAACAGCTACAATCCTGTTTGGGATCACCTGAAGGCCCCAACAAGGTGCATTATCGACACGGGTCCAAGGCAGACTGGGTAGCATTAATGGCAATAGTATGTTGAGAAGTGACAACCTAAGTCACCGCTTGTTCTCCTTTTACATCCTCTGGGGGCAAATGGGTTAAAGAGACGAAAAGGGGAGTCAGAGCAGGCCCTAGTGGAGGGGCTGAGGGAAGATCAAAATCTCTCGCGCACATATCCTTCCCCTTTCCCTCCGGTGAAGAGACGCTCTCCACCCGCTTCAACTCCCTCAACCCTGGGTCTCTTAAAACTCCCGCCATCCCTTCCCTCCCCTGCAGCTCGCCAGGGACCTCCTCACTCCTTAGTCCAGGGCTTCGCTGCCAGGATTTCTTGCTGCTGTTTTTTGTCGTATTTGTAGATTTCATCGATACTCTGGGCTTCCTGCATGTTGTTGGCCAATTCCCAGCTTTTCTGAGCCATACCGCTCCCGGACGCTGCCATCTCCGAGGAATCGGAGAAGTTATTGCCTCCACAACGAAGACTCAACTTTACTTCGCTAGTCTCGGTATGTGGGTCTTAGATCTTTCTCGCCACGGGTGCAAACTACTAGACACTCGAGGCAGCCATAACACCTAGAACCGGAAGTGGAGTTGGTTGAGACCATTCGGGCGTGCCAAGGGCTCTTCAGTAAGTGCTGTAAAAAACAATTATTTTAATAGTCGGGGAGCGAATAATATTAGCCTTGTGGGTGAAGTGAGAATATACTGCCTTGGAAATGTGAATGTGTGAATTAGGACAAAAACAACGATTCGGTATGGTAATGGTATAGCCTTCCGTACCGGAAGAAAGTCATGGTAACGTTCTGCCAGAAACTGGAATTAGGAGTCTTTGTTTGTACTGCGCAGGCTCGTTTTCCGCCATGTTAAATGTGGGTGGAGCCTTTGACTAGGGAAAAAGTGTTTTTGTGTGGGTGTAGCTACCTAAAAAAGTTCCTTGAAAGACTGAAAAGATGTCTTGGGAAAAACTGAGATGTAAGTAGTTCTGGATGTTAGCTTTTAGAGAAGAGGATAAACATGTCATCTATTTTTGGTTTTTTTTTTTTTTTTTTGGTACCGGGGATCGAACTCGGGTCCTTACGCTTGCGCGGCAGGCAGCGAAACCGCTGAGCTAAATCCCCGACCCTATATGGCATCTATTTTTAAATGATTGCACATGCGTAAATCCACACGGGCTGGAGAGGAGGCAGTGAACATGCGTGAATTGCTAAGGTCATAACTTTTGACGTATTTATAAAGTTAACATCTATATGTGTTATGAACTGTTCTTCTGAAAATATCCAGTACTCAGTTTTTATAATAGGCTCAAGTTCAGTCTTCACACCTGTGAACTGCCTTTACCCGCTGGTAGAATTCCTCCTAGAGTTTTTTATTCCAGCAATGCCAGTACATTAACTGGCTTAGCAATGAAGTATGTGTTCAGCATTGTTTGAAATGCTCTTCTTTGACATTTCTGCCAGGGAGCTCCTATTGACCTTTAAAAGCCCACCGCGAGATCTCTACCATGCATCTTTTCTGGACTCTTCTGAACTCTTTCCTGTAACTATACCTTCCATGGTGTCTCTAAAGCTCTTTAGCTGCTTTTATAACTTACCTTGGTTTGTACTAATGAATTTGTTTACGTGTAAATTTTCCTTTTCACTACAATTTTTGTGTTGTGTCTCTCACTGCTAGTGTATGGTGCATCGTGTAGTTAAAAGCAGAAATAGAATTAATGACTGCACACAACAGCGTATGGTTTAGACATTTAGTTCAGTTGGAGATTATTTGCCTTTATAACCACCTTGTAGGAGTCAGGAGTGGTGGTGCATGCCTGCAATCCCAGAAATCTAGAAGGCTGAGGGAGGAGAATCACAAGTTGGATCTCAGACAGGACATTTTAGCGACTTAGCAAGACCTCTCAAAATAAAAAATATAATGAGCTGGGGATGTGGCTCAATGGGTTCAATCCTCAATACAAAAGAAACCCCACAAAAACCAACAACAACCTTACAATGGAAGTTAGGATAAATTAGGATCCTTAGAATACATTAGTTACATCATTTTCACTCTCCTAGGAAGCTAAAAATCTCTTTTCTAGTGGTGGCATATGGCCACCCTGATTTAAACTGAATAAAATGTTGAATTTATAATGAAAGGCCAAGACACAATGTTGACCAGACTCCTGAGCTAGGAGCAATGACTTGGAGAAATATGCCACGACTTTCCCTCCTCTTTTTCCTTTCTTGGGTCAGACACTCTTCGTAGATCGGCCAGCCCGTGGGGGTGGGGTTCAGAGGGGCTGGAGCCGACGTAGTCTTGGCTGCCAAAATATAACCGTCTGAGCGCTGCAGAGGAACTAAGTGTCTGAACCCGCAAGGTTTGCCGGCGGCTGAACTGCAGTGCGGCCTCCGAGACTGCGAGAGGCGCCCTCTGCCACGTCTTTCCCAGCTGATCCGGTGGGGGCGGGGCCGCGCGTGGCGGTTGGCGAAGGGCGGGCAGAGGGTTTGGCCCGAGAGGCGGGGCCCCAGCGGGGCGGCTTGTCACAGTGTTCCCGCGCTGGGCGGCCGCGGACTCCTCTTCGGATTTTGGAGAGCTGCGCTAGATTATTGTGCGTTTCCCCGGCCCAGAGCCTGCTTTCCTGGGTAAGAGTCCGCCGGCCGCAGTTGGGGAGCAGGCCCGGCGGGGTGTGGTCTGAGGTCAGGCTGCCGCTGGAATACCTGGGGTTGAGGTCGCTTGGCGGCCCGGCCGGCGCGGTCCCGGAGTTACAGACGCTGGAGTTGGGGGTTTCGGTTGGGGGTCTCAAGCCTGCTGGGCAGGATGTGGGAGGTCCGGAAGTCACGGAGGTTGAGGTTCGGGGTATCTTGGCCGCCTCGCCGGGCGGTCACTACGAGGTTACGGGGTTTGGGTGCAGGTTCCTTGATAATGGGGTAGGGATGGTGCCGAGCTGTGCCCGAGTTACAGCGCCTGGGTCGCGAGATCCCGGGAGCTGTTCCGAGGGTGGTGTCTGGGATACAAAGGCCAGGGCTTCCTGTAGGTGGGTAGGGGTCTTGCACCGGCCGGCTGCAGTCCCTGCCCTGGTTACATGGTCTAGACTCCCGGGCCACTGCTGTCTTCGCCGGGTGGTGTGTTATTGAGAACCGGTTGCCTGACAACGCGCTGACGCTGTCTAGAATCAACCACTCCCAGCAGCGGAGACTAGCTCGCCCTAAGTCCGCGGAGGCCTGGCCGCAGCTACTAGGCTAAGCCTAGCCCAGCGTCTGTCTTCCTCCTCGGAAATGGTTAATGTTTAACATTTGCGTACTTGTGCGCCCAGGCACTGCTCCTAGCGCTTTGCTTTGCAAGTAAAAGTCTTCACGTAGAAGATCAATAACATTAGCATTGTAAGAGGAGTAGTGAACTCAACTATTATAATTTTACCTGGATATAAGCATTTTGGAATAAAAATATAGTCAAACTGTTATTATTGTCAATGATAGTTGTTCTTGTGGTTGAATCCCTGAGTAGCTTTTTATAGGATGTCATCTAAGGAAAATATATCACCATACAAGTGTGCCTATTATCATAGGTGGCTGGAGCATAAGAGAAGGGCAAATACCTGAATCAAAAGGTTATTACCATAAACAATATGTTGGAAGACCCATACAATTAGAGGGCATGAATACATTTTGAACACCAGAAAAGGAGCAGTAATAAATATCACAGTTACATAAAACCTTATTTATGTTCTTCCATGTACTTTGGTACCAAAACCATCTCTCTAATACTGTCTTGTTTATGCCACAGAAATTAAGCTTTTAAAGATGACCATTGCAGACATACTGCAATAACATTTTCAAAACTTAACAAAGTAAACATTTTATAATAACATATTTAGTGCTTAAACGTCAATGATAACCAATGTAATCAATTTATAATAACATTTAGAATTTAAACTTCAATGATAACCAATGTAATCAATTTATAATAACATATTGAGACAATATTTGTTGTGGTGTGTCTCCCATAAGATTATAAAAATTACTAGGGGGTCCCTTTAGTGA